TTCGTTAATAATTTGTAATTATTACTATTCGTTAATAATTTGTAATTATTACTATTCGTTAATAATTTGTAATTATTACTATTCGTTAATAATTTGTAATTATTGAAATTTGTAGCAAAGAACTGCGCGCTATTCATTTGGTGGTTTATTTCAGGAATACTTATCACATTGTTTCGTCATCAATTATAAGGATGCGTTCTCCTTACATTGATTTTCTTGCGGCTGGTCAAAGAGAAAAAATAATTTCCTTAGTAGAATTTCCACTTGATCCATTTATATTTGAACTAAATTTTGGGGTGATTATATGGTATCAAACGATTGATAATTTTGTTGCCAATAATTATTGGAAGTCAATCTTTGTTGAAAAACCTCGTTCATTTATCAGGAACAAAAATGGTATGGATAATTATTATGAATATTTTAATTTAATTTTCATTTTTTTTTTTGACATAAATATATTATAAATTTCTTTCCAATTTTTTTTTACAATTTGTTATTCCTTTAGAATCGATCAATTTTCATCCATCCATATCATATTTGATTTTTAATAATTCCAATTCTTTGTCTAAACAATGGGATTGGTCAATGCTACCATTTCTACTAGAACAATACTTAAATTTGGAATCAAAATTTTCAGTAAGTAAACTTTTATTTTTTTTTTAACGATTTAGAATTTTTGTCTTACCTGAATATTCGAAATTTAGAATAATGCGTCTCAAGAATTTCAATCTGTGGATGGTTCACGCTGGTTAACACTGCTGCGACCTTACAGTATAATTAAATCTGATGAATTAGAAAATGAAATATCAATTAACATTACACGTCAATTGATGGAAATTCGGGGTCATAATGATAGAAATTTGACGTTTATGATAAAAATATTGTGCAAGGAACTAATTGGAGATATCCTCTTTTTATTTTCATATTCTGAAGTTTATTATATTATTATTATTATTATTTTCTTTTATATTAATTCTTTAACTAATTCTATTCGAAAATACGAATCATAGTCTCTTTGCCTTCTCCCTTATTCAATCCAATTCACAGCCTTGACGGATTTTTTACTATTTTAGAAGATATAAATAATTATGAAGAAATTATTTTGAGACGATTTTTATGTTCAAAATTAGCAACCTGGTTTCTAGTATTATAAATAATTTATATTGATGAAAAAAAAAAAAATTCGTAAAATGTATTTTATAAATATTGATGATATTGAATTTGTATAAAAAAATACAATCACAACAATAGTATACAATTCTTTGGCAAACTATATTTTTGGTTGTTTTATGTTTGAATTTTGAACGAAAGATAAATTTCTATTTACAGAACATAAAATTCTGTAATGTAAATGAAAAAAAAGGTAAAAAAAAGGAAAATAAATGATCATTTTTATAAAATAGTGAATAGCATAAAAAATCACTTGGTTTTTAATACTACAAATTATTATTATTATTTTTTTTTTTTAAAAAAATGTGCGCGAAAAAAAATTATGCTCGGATTATCTATTAAAAAAACCATAAAATTATTTACAACACCAAATGGAAAATAAAGTATGATCTATGGCTCCGAGCTTCGTAAAATATCTGGATCCCATGAGGTGATAGAAGAAGCAGGACGTGACAGTGGAGGTGTGGGGGGCAAAACAATGGCCGTGGATGGGGATGATAAAGAAGAAGATGCGGATGTAGATGAAATTGATAATTTTGTAGGTGTAGATGGAAAACAAGTATTACTATTCGTTTGTTTTCTAAAAGAAATTTGGGTTCTACAAAGTGGGCTAAATTCAATAAAAAGTTGGGTGAGAAAAAGAAAAAGAAAATTCAATAAACGAATTGAAAACGATTGTAGAGATAAATTAATCATAATATTATACCATGAATGCATCATTTTGGCACAATCAACACAAAATCCATCGTGATTGCAAGGTCCCAACGTAATGACGGGAGGCATTGCAAAACAAATAGAACATTGTGCATCAAAATCTTCATCCGTATCTTCTAATTGTTGTTTCCAACAGGAACCTACAGATATTGGTCGATAACGTGACATTCTCCATTCTCTTTTTTGTATTGAATCACGTAGTTCAGGTGATAATTGACCACGACTATTAAGCGTTTGATAATTAAATGTCGAGGGAGGTGGATGACTGAAATAATAATAATAATTTATAAATTAAAATTTTTAATTTTTATATTTATAATATTATTTATGCAAAACAAATTAGAAATACAATAAATTTAATGTTTAAGAAATTTACCGGAATTTTTCGGCCCCAAAGTTAATAATGGCTTGTTGATACGAAGTAAAAGAAAGGGCGGGATGCAATCCATTTTCTGCCAACCTTCGAAATTGAGCAAGATTTAGAGGATAAGCTATGCCCAAATCTTTCCCATTTAAGTAGAATCGAACGCAACAAAGGCCAATATCCATGTATACACCAACAACATCACCTTTTTTTTTTGTTAAAACAGAAAAAAAAAAGTGATTGCATAAGTTAATTGTAATAATGCTTCTGATAATAAATTAATAATGAAAACTAACTAAATACCAGGTTTCCATGATTCATTCCCACCATATGGAGTAGATACGCCGTTTGCCTAATGTGAGTAAAAAAAAAAATATCGATTAATAAGATTAATAATGAAACATCTAATATTACGTCTAATATTATATCTGATATTTATTGATTAAACCAGTTATAAATATATTTACCCATAGAACATTTCTGCAACCATCAAATGCAAATCCAAACTAAGAATGGAAATTTTATAAATTACTTGGTTATAATTAACAGAGCGGAAGTTACTCATCACGTTTTCTCACCTGATCATCCCCGACACCAGTACCTTCATCAGGGCCGAACATACAACGTTTAGTCGCATACCCAATCTGATGAATTAATTTAATTGAAAAAAAAATTTTTTTTAATGCATTTTATCAAATATCGATTCTGAAAAATAAATAATTGAAATACAAAATACTCATAAATTATGATACCTGCATAATTCCATTTGTGAGCAAAATTGCTTCATAAAACCATTTCCCCGATGATACTCCCATAGTTGCACGTATTGATTCAAATGATGAATAGTCATTCCTTATCTAATTTATGAATTGATAAAAATATTATAATAAATATTATATAAATAGTATATAATAAAATATTTTTGTTCTCAATATAATTAATAGAACAACATACCTCTAAGCCATGAGGGGAAATCTTCCAATGTGCCGTAGCATCCATAGGATTTAACATAACATTAATATTGGGATTTATGGAATTTTCTTCTAAATCATGCTATGTATAAAAATTTTCATATTTAAATGAAACTGATAAAAAAAATTAATTACTGAAATCAATAAATTATTAAATCATTTATTTTACCTTTCCGGAATCTGTTCATTTTTTTTTTTTTAAAAAAAAAAAAAATTGTTAAAAAAAAATGAAAAATTAAAAAAAATAAAATCAAATAGATTTACACATTTTATTTTTTACCCGAAATAAGACTACTGGAGAAAAATCAAAGCTAATTTTTTTTTTTAATAGTCATTGAGAACTTATTTTGGGTAGATAACATAATGAACAATACACCTTTCTTATAATAAACATACCAAAAGTATTCTTTAGAGCCCATTCTACACAAAACTTTAATTGTCTTCGACGAGTGGAATTATCAGATGGATTTTCGTTTATTTGTAATTCCTTAACTAAACTCAATAAAATCTTTTGAATATCTCGTCCAGACGACATGATTTTTTCTTTGTTTTGTCCAGTTATGCCAAATTTTTCAAGAGCTATCAAGGCAAATAACCTTACGTTCGGATCAGTACCATATTGGAGATAATCCATTAATGTAATACAAACATTATCTGAAAATAAAGATAAACTAATTTCGCCTAGAAATTAAAGAAATTTGGGTTAATTTGAATATAATATATATAGATAATCGGGTTGAGAATTAATTGATAAATAAATTTACCTGCTAACTTTTCGGCGAGTACACTCCAAATTATAGCCGCATTTATACGAGTACGTCTTTTAGATTTCGTTCGATATATACACAAACCAGGTTTAAGTTTCTGAAGTAATCGTGTTGTTATTTTGTAAGAAGTTTCTTTAGAAGGGAGTGCCGCACTATCTATAGAATTGATTAATGACAATAATTGATATATTATTCGAGAAAGAGTATAAATAAATATAAATAAACGAACCAATTATGTGGCACAGGAAAGCAGAAGCCATAGGTGCCTCGGAAAGAACATCGACAATAACTGTAATGAGTTCGATAAACTCGTTTTCTGCAAATGAGAGTTATGTTAAAAATCTGAAAGTACATAAGATAGTGGAAACGATAATTTCAAAAGAAAAAAAAAGTAAACCTTCATGAGACATGGATATTAGGGTATCAAGTGCTTCCGAAAGTTCATCGTGCTCGCTTAAACTGTTTAGATTTTTCCAGGCGCTGCGAATAAAGGTCTTTCGAGAAAAACGACCTAAAATGCGAAGAGCAAGTTTTTGCATCGAGATGTAAGTATATTATTTGGGTTATTTCCAGTTATTTAATTTATAATTGTGCAAATGGTAGAGACTCCGACTGTAAAACTGCCTTCTGGAAAATTCAAACAAACTATTAATAATTTAATATTTCTCGTCCGCCCACCTAATGTACTACTACTGTGGTTTGTGTAGCATCCAAACATTGTTGTAACAAGTATATTAAAATATTATATAATATTAAATTTCAGGGATCAATCCAAAATATAATGAACTAAACTATATACAAAAAAAGAAATTGTAAAAAAAATTATAAATGATAAAAGAACTATTTTTAAAAGATAGCTAAAGAGAAAAGCTGAATTAAATGATAAGATTAATCTTTTTTGAAATGTTTACTGGATTTCAATTATATATATAGACAGAAGCAGAAGTAAATTAAAAAAAAAAAAATTGATAATAATCTGATTGGTTCATAATGTGGCGCAGGTGAGTGACTTGATTTTATAATGATTCACGTTTCACAATTTTTTACGCGTAAACAAACAATATAAGTAACATGAATAAAGATAATAAAAAATCTTTCGCAAAGAGAGAACAAGAGGAAGCAATTTTTGACAAACTTGATGTTAAACTTTACAAGCAAGGTCCACCACGCCTGGGTTGGTTGTATAACGCGAGCCAGGTGAATAAACAATCTACATTCACTGTGGACTTTAATCGTCGAAATTTATGATAACTATATAATCTCTCTATATTGTATATAGGAATTAGTACAAACTGGTAACCATGAAACAGGACAATCTACCTTAGACTTGTTTTTCCTTGAATCTAACGGAGTTACAAGAACCCATTTTCGTTGTACATTAAAATTTTATCCTTATTTTTATGTGCAATGCCTGGTAGGTATACTTATATAAATGAATATGAATTTACCAATATCTTTGATAAGAATTATTCATAAAAAAATTTCTTAGCATAACAAAGAAAACGATGTTCTAGAATATCTTCAAAAGACTTTCGAAAAATATATTTACAAGATTACTGTAAAAATAAAAAAAGATTTAAAGAAGGTACAAAGCTTTACTTTTATCAAAATATCTCTAAAATTTAATTCATCATTCTAATCACATGAATTAAAAACGAATGATAGCCAAATCATCTTGTAAATGGAGATCAAAAATGTGTCAAACTTGAATTCTGGAATACACAAGATTTAACCATGGTTCGAAATAAATTGATATACATTGTGAAAGGGAACCAAAAAAAATCAGACAGAATTAATATTTACGAAACACAAACACAAACACAACCAAAGTAAATTATTATTAGATCAAACAATATCTCAAATATCTTGATAATCTTGATAATTATATTAAATTTATTAATTTTTAGTAGAAAATCAAAAACAAAAGAGCAAAAAGAAAAACCGGTGGATCATATTTTCGATATTCAAGAATATGATATACCACATTATCAACGTGCTGCTATAGATCTAGGTAAATTTTTTAAATCACTTAATTATATATTTGTATTTTTTTTTTTTATATTTAAGTTGTTTTATAGATATTAGAATTGGATTATGGTATAAAATTCAATGTGAAGATGATCAGATTTCATTACAATACCAAGAAACCATGAAGCAAAGTCCCATCCCAATTATACTTGCATTCGATATTTTGACCACAAAAAGACCTTTAAATTTTCCGGATCCTGATTCAGATTCAATTATGATGATATCATATATAATAAACAATCAGGTAAATCCTTAGGGAACCCATAATTATTTTATTTCTTATTACCCTGAAATTTAATAAATCTTATTTATATATTATATATATTTATATATATATATATTTGCAGGGATATGTTATCACTAATCGTAAAATTGTATCGGAAGATATTAGAAGTATTAAATATATTCCACCTCGTGTTCATGAATATCAATTCAATGTATTTAATGAACGTGATGAGGTAATTTCAATGAATGTTACTTTGATAAAAATGTGTTATAAATGTGATAGAATAGTAATATACATTTTTATTAATTTTATTTATTATATTAGGTAGCCGTAATTTCACGATTTTTCTTGCAAGTACGTAAAGAAAAGCCAACGATCATCACCACATTTAATGGTGATGCATTCGATTGGCCTTTCATTGAAAAACGGTCCGAATTATATGGATTAAATATGCAAAAGGTATTATTAATTCAAATTTGAGAAAATATATTAAATAGTGAATTTAATATTTTAATGTAAATATTTTCTATTCGTTTTCTTATTCGCTTTCTATTTACCTTCCATTCAATAGGCAATTGGTTTTACTAAAACCAAAGGATTTGAAAAAGATGAATATATAAGCAAAATAAGCATAAATATTGATTGTCTCTTTTGGGTTAAGAGAGATAGTCATCTTCCTCCTAACAGTCAAAGTCTTAAAAGTGTAGTCGAATCAAAATTAGGATATAGTCCTGACGATCTAGATCCTGAAATTCTGACTGAGTCAGTAAAAAAAACTTAATTTTTTTTTTTATAAATGTATGATTGTTGAATTAATTTAATATATAATTTATGATATATGATATATGATTTATTACAGGTGTGCAAAAATCAATCCACAAACGTTGGCACATTACTCAATGTCTGAAACAGCAGCTACATATTATCTTTATATTCAACATATTCATCCGTTTATCTTTTCTCTTTGTTCTATCATTCCTATGAATCCAGAAGAGATTCTCAGGACACGTACCGAAAATTTATGTGATGCTCTATTAATGGTAAATTAAATCATTTCATTATATTTGTATTATTTTGTATTGAATCATAATTTTTATTATTATAATTTTCTAGGTTGAAGCACATCGAGAAAATATCATTATACCCCAAAAATACGAAAATAAAGAAGAAAGATTTTTCAATGATCATTTTCTTCAAGATGAATCATTTATCGGTGGTCACACTGAGATTTTAGAAACCGGGGTATTTAGATCTGACTTACCCGTAAATTTTAAAATTGAGCCTCAAACCATTGAAAAAGTTTATAATCCTTTTTTTTTTGTTTCTATAAATTTTTTTTTATTGTGTCATATTTTGTGCTAAATATCATTTATTTTTTCATGTTAGTTAATATTTGAAATCGATAATCTTTTAAGTTTCTCAATCTGGGAATCTTTCAGAAAAACAGATAAAAACTTAAAGGATTCTGCATTTAATGTTCATGATAAGGTAACATCTCTATGATTTATTTATTTATTCTATTTATTTTATTCTATTTGTTTATTCAATTTATATTATTTATGTAGGAGCTAATGAAAATAATTTCTAGGAAAATACACGGAATAAAGAATTATGATGAAGTAAAATAAAAATCTCAATCTGTCGTTTATAACATATATTTGTTATTAATTTGGTAAAAATTTTTGTAGATTCGTTCCCTGATTTTATCTTCGTTGGAAGAAATTAAATGTATTAAACAACCTTATGAGAGGTTACCACTCATATATTGTCTGGATATTAATTCTATGTATCTCAATATCATTCTCACGAACCGACTTCAACCTGGATCTATGATCACCAAAGATTTATCTCAGAAATCTGATTTTAATATTCCTGGAAAAATTTGTGATCGTAAGATGAAATGGTTCTGGCGTGCTGAATTTTATCCTGCAAACATGTTTGAATACGAAACGATCAAGAAACAATTAAATGTCGAAAAGTTCCCTCCAAAACTTCCAGGAGGAAATTTACGTTCATATCACCAATTATCATCCGATGAACAATTATCAATTTTAAAGAATCGTCTTGATGAATTTTGTCTGAAAGAATATCAATCAAAGAAAGAGATGGAAGTACGTGAAAAGCAAGCTTTAATTTGTCAACGAGAAAATCCATTTTATCTAAATGCTGTTCTTAATTTCCGTGATTTGTTACATAAATACAAAGCTGTCGTCAAAGATTGGAAAAACAAGTTATCAAGTGATATCAAGAAAAAGGATCATTCCTTGATTGAAGAATCAAAGAAAATGATTATTCAATATGATACTCTATATTTAGCACACCAAAATATTTTCAATTCCTTTTATAAATCTATCGTATGCAAAGGTTCCAGGTGGTATTCAATAGAAATGGCTGGAGTCGTATGTGACATTGGTTCAAATATAATAAAAATGGCTCGAAAATTAATCGAGAAAATCGGTCGGCCACTCAAGATTGAAACTGACCGTATCTGGTGCATACTTCCTTCGAATTTCCCAGAAAATTACACGTTTAATTTATCATCTGGAAATTCTATTACAATATCCTATCCGCGCACTATTCTAAATTATTTAGTACACCTTCATTTCACTAATGACCAATACTATAATTTATCAACGAATAAACAAAGAAAAGAAAACAATCTATTCTTTGATATCAACGGTCCTCATCGAGCTATAATATTACCCTCACCTTCACATGAAAATACGAATACGCGCATCTCGGAAGAACATGTCATTTTTAATAATAGTGATGCTGATGAATTACATGAATCGAAAGGATTTGAAATAAACAGTTACGGAGGATTTAAGTTCATTAAAAATTTTCAGAAAGACATATTTAAAGCTTTTCTTAAAGGAGAAACTTTAGAAGAATGTCATTTTGAAGTTAGAAAGGTCGCGAATACTTATTTGGACATTATAAAGCATAAGGGTTCTTCTATTACCGAAAAAGAAGTGATAGAATATTTTAGTGAGGAACGAAGCATGTCACATTCCTCTGAAAATTCTGAACAAAAGTTGATGATAATCACTGCTTCAAAACGCTTAGCCGAGCTCATAGGCGATCAGGTTAAAGCAAACAAATTGATTTGTCACTATATTGTCTCCTCTAAACCTTCAGATTTGTTGGTTAGTGAACGTGTTATTCCGGTTGCAGTGTTTTTCTCTGAAGATGATATAAAAATGAAATATTTAAGAAGATGGATAGAAAATCATAGTGCGAATGATTTTAATGTGCACAACATATTGGATTGGGAATATTACAAAGAATGTTTAACAAAAATTATTCAGAAATTTATTACAATCCCTAAAAACGTTCAGGATAACAAACGTAAAAGGGTAGATGAAATAATATCCGAAGAAAATAATTCATTTCAAAATATTAAAACAAATACTTATAAAAGACGTCGAATTAGTAAAAATATTTCAGATGAATCTGAACCTTCGTTAGAAATTCTTTTTATTAATAAAGAAAGTGTCTGGGAAATCATTCAGATAATTGAAACTGATACACCCGGAAAATTTATTATGTGGATTCTTGTAGGAAGAGAAATTCAAATTATTCATCTTAATGTATCAAGACGATTCTACATTAATTATAAATTAGATACCTTTCCTACTAAGATTAAAGATATGATTAAATCAAATGGAAGTATAACCAAAGTTAATCGGATTTTACCTGAATCTCATAAACAATTTAACTTATTTGAAGTGACCATGCAGGAATCTACTTATCAAGAAAATTCGGTGATACTTCAAGATATTTTCAATGACCCACTTATTGAAGGTGTTTATGAAAATCAAATCAATCTTTTGGATCGAGCATTAATAGAGGTTGGGTTTATGATCGATAAATGCTTAATAGAACCTAATGTGCTTAAAGATTCAATTACAAATGGGTTGGATATTAGAGATATTGGAAAATGCGAAAATTTACCTGCCGATTTATATTTAATGGGAGAACCAACGGAACGACCTATTAATTTTTTATATTTATATCATGCAGTGTCAGAAGATAATAACCATTTATATGGTCTATTTTCTTCTTGCGATAATAAGGTGCACGTGTTTTACGTGGGCCTTAAAGCTGTAGCAATGAAATATTCCGAAGAAAGATATGCGTTTATGTACAAGGAATTTATTGAAAGTATTGGCGAAATTGAAACTTCTGCCAATATTTTTAAAATTCAAAATGAGATAGAGATTAAAATAACATATCTTATTAGAGACATTAAAGAATTTGCGAAAGCATTATCAAATGAAATCAAGAAACATGAACAAGCTAGATACGGACCAACGATTCTTGTTTTACAATCAAATTATAGTTCGGGTGAATTAATTGGGCAAGGGGTAGATATTTTACGAAAATTTCCCACAATAAACATTATGTCATGTGATAGATTTAACACATTCAGTAGTGCGGCAGAACCAATGTTTGCTAGATATATTCAAATTAATTCAATAATTAATAATTTAATTGAGAAATCAAGACATTTGAAATTACCTCTTTGTAATATACCGATTGACAGCAAAATATATACATGAAATATTATTTGCTCGGAGTTTACGATGTTATTCTCTGATGGAAATTGTCACATATATAATGAATTTTTAACGTTCATCAATTGATTTATTAAAATCAGTTACAATTTTTTTTTTTATGAAACTGCGCTTACTATATTAATATAATACTCCGCTTAGATAAATTAGAGATAATTTGAATTAATCCAGTTTTGATATATCATTTTCCTTAGTAATAAAAGAAATTCATTTTATATTATGCTTGTTATGGCAGAATTTAACCTTCATGCGTAGATTATCAAATTTCTAAATAGGGTATAATCTTTTTTGTGAATTATCCAAAATAAATAAAAGAATGAATTCTAACGAATTATCATTTTAATGAACATCAAAAATTTATTTAGAATGAAAAATAAGAAATGAATCCAGAATGAAATGAATTCAGAATGTCAGGTGATTGACATAATTTTTTAAATATAAAAAGCAACGAGAATAAATTATCACTACATTATCATCTCCTTCATTTCTTTTTTAACAGTCCTTTATTTGTTTTCTATCGAATTTAATTCTCAAATATTATATTGATAAAATGAAGAAAGGTACACTTTATTTCTTAATAGCATTAATTGTAATGATAGCCATAACCGGTTCAAGTTATGCCGCTCCAATTATTCCAATTATTCGTGAATATAATGTTGAAGAGACCCTTGCTTGGGAAATTATTTATGTTTAACCCTGAAAATGGAGAACGATTAGGTTGCACTGTCAGTGTAATTTAATACCGTTAATGGAAATATTGCAATTACAAAGAATTAGAAAAATCAACTATCAATAACAATGCATTATCTTTGTGATTTCAAGGGGACAAATGTTTGACCAACTAATGTTTTCTCCTGGGTATAACGGAAAAGATGGTAATTTGGACAAATACCAGATTGCTTTTCGTAAGAATAAAGATTATGGTTTTCATTTCAAGATTGGATGGAAAAATACAAGATCTAACGGTTGTAGATGATCCCATGAAGATCGGGACGTCAATGCAATGAAAATTATTGCGACATATCTGTATTATTAAAACTATTATTAACCATAAATAGAAATAAACATATTATTTAAAACTATTATTAACCACAAATAGAAATAAACATTGAAACAATAAATTTAATTTATTTACAATAAACTTTTTTTTAGTTATGTAAAAGAGACGACGCGTGTATCTAAAACATCACATGTTATTTTCTTCTATTTTGTTAATATTAAATTTCTTTATTATTATATTAATAAATATTTATTAATTTTATTACAAGAATGACTTCTATACACTGTACGTAAAATATTTTCAGATTACAATTTTAATTATTCAAATGAACCATTAAGAAGGTTATTGTTACAGTATAAAAATAAATACATGAAAAATATACAATTCAATTTTTTTTTAAGTTACGGAAGAAAAAACAATAATCACTTTCATAACTTTAATGCCCAAAATAAAATAACATTTTATTGAAATATTGTCTCTTCATGTTTTCTTTTAGAAACATAAGATCCTGGTTTAGCCATTGCATTCGGGTGTGATGCCAATTCTGGTGGAACTCGCGATATAGGAGATTTCAATATCATTTGTTTCAAATCATACCTAAATTGAAATTTGAACGGATAAAGAGTATATTCAATAAGTGATTTATTATGATTTATTGAAGTTAAAAAAAAATAAATAAAATAAAATAAAATAAACTTACATGACATCGGCATCCGCGTTAGATAGAAATGTTATGGAGACACCCGATTGACCAGCACGTCCGGTACGACCAATACGATGAGTATAATCTAAAATAAAATAAAATAAAATAATCAGCTTTTGGTAATTTATTTAAACAAAATACATTAAAATATCAACACAAGTACCTTCAATATTTTTAGCCATATCATAATTAATGACTAATGATACATTTTTTACATCTATACCGCGACCGGCAACATCCGTGGCCACTTTAGAAGAAAGACAAATTTAAATTAAGCAATCTTTAATAATGTGAAAATAAAAATAATGTATTTAATTAATTGATATCCTACCAAGTATATCCATAGTACCATTTTTAAGATGAGCTAAAGCACTCTCTCTTTAAAAATATAAATTTTATGTATGTTAATAAAATATTCAAAACTTATCAACACGAAAAAAGAACGATTCCAATTACTAACCTTTGTTCCTGTGTCTTACCACCGTGAAGAGTAGTTGCACGATACTAAATAAGATATTTATAATTTAGTTAAACTTGTTTAAATTTGAATATAACAAAAAAATAAATTTTGAAACGTACTCCAAGTTTGTTTAATGCACGAGCAAGAACATCACAGCCTTTCTTTTGATTGACAAAAATAATAATTGGCGGATCAAAGGATCCCTGGAGGAGTTCTAATAGTCGAGCTCTATTATGATATAAAATGATGGATATGAGCTGATTCGATAAAATTTTTTCAATAAATCATATTAAAATTATAAAATTATACTAACTTCTTTCTTCCTTCATCATTAATCATTTCTACCCTTTGCTCCACTGTGTCTACAGCTTGGCCAGCAGTTCCTATGGTAACAACTGCAGGTCTCCGTAGATATCTAAATTTCAATTCATAAATTAATTAGATCAACTTACTTATATTAATTATTTTATGAAAAGATAATTGAAAAAATAACAACATACCTCTTTGCCAAACGCTCGACGGCAGCAGGCATAGTAGCTGAAAACATGACCGTTTGTCTATAACGCTCTTTTTGTCCAATCTTTTTTAACATTTCGGCAGGATTCTCAGCTTCCTCCGTATCAGGTTTTACATTTGATACAGGTAAAGCATCCAATATCAAATTAACATCGGCTTCAAATCCCATATCTATCATACGGTCAGCCTATAAATATTTGAAAAAAAAATATTCTGATTATAATAATTCGTATAATATAATGTAATATAATATTTCAAAGAAAAGACGTAATACAAACCTCATCCATAACAACATAGGTACATTGATTAAGTACCAAAATTCTTCGATCCAAACAATCTTTCAAACGACCCGGAGTAGCAATAATAATTTCTGCACCATTCCTTAGATTAAAGGCTTGTTCTTCAACGGCATGCTGCAATAATTATAAAAATTGGCACAATAAGAAATAAGGTTTTATCTAAAGAAAATTTTTATTAAATTTATTAAAATTTAATAATATTCTTCTTACCCCACCGACGATGGAAACACAGTTGAAACCCATCGGCGCAGCAAATTTTAAGGTTTCTTGTTCAATTTGTTGGGCCAACTCGCGAGTTGGAGCAAGGATTAAGGCATATGGGCCATCTGACATGTTTTCTTCGCTCAATTTTGGAAGATCGGAAATATAGACAAGCATCGGTATCACGAATGATGCAGTTTTACCACTACCTAATGATAGTTAAAAATGTATTAATGTATTGTAAATAAGTTAAATTTCACGTATAAAAAAAAAAAAAAGATTTCTTTACCTGTCTCAGCAATACCGATGATATCCCTATTTTGTAATCCTATCGGGATTGCTTGACGCTGTATGGGTGTTGGCTCTTTATATCCAATACTTTCTATTAAATTTAGAATACGTTCGGACAATCCAGACTCGATCCATGATCTAATTGGATTAGGAATACTACCACCTATGAAACGATTATTGTTAGAAATGTATAGTTTGATTTTTTTTTTCTTAATTCTAAAAATTAAATCATCACCTTTAGTCGTAATATTGAAATCTTCTTTGAAAATACGCCAATCCCTTTCTTTCATTTCGCTCAATGGTTTTTCTGACCAGTGACGATCGTCCCACATGCTCTTCAATTCTTTCTTTCTGTCGATTTCCATTCTTTCCCTGAATTAAATAAACGTAAAATAATTATAAAAACTATAATATTAAAATATTTTATTTAAAATATTTAAAATATTTACTCGGCGCGATCCTTTTGATCTAAAGTTCTTCTTTCTTCTAAAAGTTGATTATAAAACTGTGCACGATCACGCTTTTGTTCTTTAATATCTATTCCAGCGAAATGCCCACGCCCAAACATTTGAGCGTTATGTTTAGCTGCGTAAAGTGGATTAAAATCTTGTGATGTGTCTTCTCCTGCATCCCAATCGAATACAAATTTCTTTTCATTCATTTTACGGATTTTGCGTTTTTTACGCTCACCACCCATATAACGTTCCTAATAATGCAATATATAAATCTAAATTCAGGATTTATTGTATAATATTTTGAAATTCATATTATAATAGACAAATACCCTAATCGCCTGCAATTCTTTTTCATCCAATTTTTCATCTTCGTTATGATCTGATTTTTCCGTCGGGCGCTTATCAATACTATCACGGTCTCTCGCTCTTGATCTTTCGTATCTATCAGGTCTATCTCGATCATACCGATCATAGTAATCTCTACGATCCCGACCATAACCTATAAAAAAATTAACGTAAATAATTTCACAAGAGGGTAATTTAGTTTTACAATAAAATAAGATAAAATGTAATTACCATTTAGTCGAGCTTCTTCAATCGCCCTTCTTTGAAATTCTTCTTGTTGACGTCTTTCCTCTTCCTGTTTTTGTCGTTGTTCTTCGACTTCTTTTTGACGTTTCTCCATAGCTAATTTTGCTCTATCTGTCTTTGTCAGAAATTTAGGCTATTAAAAAAAAAAATTCTGACATTATTAAATTATGAACAAATAGTTTATTCATATAAAGGAAATAATATCAAATATAAATATGAACCCTATCATTTGCTTGCTTTTCTGTTTCCCGTTGTTGTAGCAATTCATCGAGAGAAATTGGTGCTCTTGGCTTTTGGGGTTGATTATTATCTTTTCCCGTTTCGACTTCCACAGAAGGTTTATCAGAATGCTGTATCTTTTGATGTGATTCGTTTCCGTTCTCACGACCTTCTTTATCATAACCAGGTGAAATCTTACGCTGTGCATCAGTTCTACGGTTATCTCTTTCATAATCACGACCATCTCTTTCATAATCGCGTCCATCCCTCTCATAATCACGCCCGTCTCTCTCATAATCACGCCCATATCGGTGACGGTGATAGGTTTCTTCGCGTCGGCGATCCCCATTATGAGGAGAACGGGAGCGATGTCTACGAGAGCTGGGGGTAGCGGAGGAATAAGATCTAAAAAAGGATCAAATTTTAAATTCGTATTTTCACATATAGATAGGTAATCGTACAACATACCTTCTTGACCTTTCAGTTACCATAGCCAAAAAAAAACGATAATCACTATCACTTTCAGTAGTTCCTATATGCATATCCGTTAACACGTACACTAGCAAATTTCGTGTAACTCAAATTTTAATTAACTGGTTTTGGCTCAAAGATATCGTTTTTGATATACTTATCGGTTAGTTCTAACTTCATATACCACATATTAACTAATATTTTTTTAACTTTCAAATTAGAACTTTATATTTATTAAATTATTGTTCTCTAAATATCATGTTCTCATAACCACTTATTGTAAAGATGTTTCTTTAATATTTTAATATTTAATATTGACTGGATCTTAATTTTCAAAAAGTTTGTTAAATATTATAAGTGCAACCTTTATTAAAAAGGAAATTATTTTTTTTACAGCTAATAAAATTTTAAAAATTAATTTATTTCTATAATGATAAATCATTATGTTTCAAATTCCTATTATATTATATGTTGCTAGGTATTATTAAGTATTACTAGTCAAATACAAAAAATATCACTGTACTGAATGGTTATAAATTAGCTAAAATCAGAATTCCAATTTGTGCCACCTATTCACCTGTGTACATTATTATACAGGTCAAATATAAAAGAATAGGTGTACTGAAAAGAACAGTCGATTTTATGATTAGGAATCCTGATGTAGTAATAATAGACAAAATTTAAATACTAAGTATTAAATATGATGTATTTTAATAACTTAGGTTAATAAAATTTATGGTTTTAGTTGACAAATATAATAAATATAATATCAATTACCGTAAAAAAAAATAAATATTTTACGGATAAAATGTGGTTCGTGTAACCTCATAAACGTGACATGAATTTAAAATGATTTACATTTTTTCGTTGATTATCTTTATCAAAAAAAATTCAATTTGTAAAATATGGGCCGCAGAGCTAAAAGAAAACAAGGAGAACCCGAGCCACTTACATTTCTACCAAAATCAAAATTATCTAAAGGAGATCACCCTGGTAAAAAAAGAAAACTTGAAAGAGAAATAGATAACAAGAAAGTCTTGGAACTTTTGGTAAATATCAATTTTTTAATCATTCATTCTTGACAGTTAATTTAAATCGATTAATTAATCTAATTAATGTTTATTTATCGATACTATTAAAAGAACGACGATTCTACGGAATCTAATAAAAGTGAAAATGAAAGTGAAAATGAAAACGAAAATGAAAGTGAAAATGAAATTATAAGTGAAAATAAAAGTGAAAGTGAAAGCGGAACCGATTCGGAGGTCAGTAAATTTCATAAGTAATATTATAAATAAATAAATTTAAGTAAACTAATTAAAGAATTTTCTATAGTTAGATATAGAAAAAAAAGCACATATTCTAGATAAAGAAAAAAAGAAAGAAGAAGAATTAGCTAATGCCGAACTTCAAAATAATATCGAGCAAATGGAAAATTTTGTTTTACCAGATACTCAAGATGATGAGAATGATGAGAATGATGATAATGAGAATGAGGATAATTCGGATATACAAATTATTGGTCGACGTATACAAGATATTGTTGGTGTACTTAATAATTTTAATAAATTGGGTGATAAAAAAAGGTAAATTTATTTATTTATTTCATTTATTATATTTATATTGTCAATTTATTATTTACTCATATTATTATTATTATTATTATTATTATTATTATTAATTATTATTTACTTTTAAATTTTAGAGGACGTTCAGCTTACGTTGAACAATTAATGAAAGATATGGCGATGTATTATGGTTATTCTGATTATCTTCTTGAAAAGCTTTTTCATTTATTTTCAGTCTCTGAGGTTTCTTTGATTTCTTTATTATTATTATTGTTGTTGTTATTGTTGTTGTTTATTCATAAAAACATCAATATTTTTAATATATCCAATTTCTATTTACAATTTAATTCTAAATTCTAAAGGCAGTTGAATTTTTTGAAGCAAATGAAATTTCAAGACCTGTTACAATTAGAGCAAATACGTTACGCACAAGTCGTCGAGATTTGGCTCAAGTAATATTTTTATTTAATTATAATAATTTTATATTTTTCAGAAACCATTTCTTAATGTTATAATTGTCAATATTTGTTTTGTTAGGCTCTCGTTAATAGAGGTGTTAATTTAGAACCAATAGGAAAGTGGACAAAGGTTGGATTGACAGTATTTGATTCTTCAGTACCGATTGGTAAATATTATTTTTTTCTACATATATACATATATATATATATATATATATTTGAATATTTATTTATTTATTTATTTTTAAAATTTAAGGTGCTACTCCGGAATATCTTGCTGGACATTATATATTACAAGCAGCATCATCATTTTTGCCTGTTATGGCTTTAGCTCCTCAAGAAAATGAGAAAATATTAGATATGGCATCAGCGCCTGGAGGAAAAACCACTTATATAGCAGCATTAATGAAAAATACTGGAATAATATTTGCCAATGATTCGAATAAAGAACGAACGAAAGGTCTTGTATCTAATATATATCGATTAGGGATTAAAAATACCATTGTATGTAATTATGATGGTCGTCAATTTCCTACTGTTATTGGTGGATTTGATCGAGTTCTATTAGATGCTCCTTGTAGTGGTACAGGTGTTATTTCCAAAGATCCTTCAATTAAAATCAATAAGGTTGGTTAATTGGTTAATAAATAATAATAACTTAAAAATTCATCTGTTTCATTTTCATCTCGGATACAAAAAAAAAAAAAAGTCTAATGATAATAATATATTTATTTTTATTTTAATAAAAAATTAGCTTGAAAAAGATTTTAAATTGATGCCTCATTTACAAAAACAACTTATTTTATCAGCAATCGATTCTGTAGATGCAAAATCTTCTACAGGAGGATATATTGTTTATTCTACATGTTCCGTGACAATAGAAGAAAATGAAGAAGTAGTAAATTATGCTCTTTTAAAACGTCCCAATGTTAAATTAGTAGAAACTGATTTAGATTTTGGGCAAGATGGATTCACAAAGTAAATTTAATTTGAATATTATTTATTTTTTTTATATATATTTTATATTTTATATATTTTTTTATTAATATTATAATTTATAATTTTTTATATTTTTGTATTAATATTATAATCAATTGTATATATTAATATAAAGGTATCGTGGCAAGGTTTTTCATCCTTCGTTAAAATTGACGAAAAGATATTATCCCCACGTACACAATATGGATGGATTTTTTGTATCAAAGTTTAAAAAATTTTCAAACGCTTTTGCAGAAAACAAAGAAAACAAGGATAATGAAAAAGTCGAAAAAATCAAAAAAGGGAAGATTAATGAAGATAATAAAAAAAATGGTATTTTTATATATCTAAAAATTAATTACTAGGCAGATTAACAATTAACTTCATATTTATTATTTACTTCATTGAATAATTAATTTTGATATATATATATATATATATATATATATATATATTTTTAAAAAAAATAGAATCTTCGAGTAAAACTAATATAACCAAAAAATCGCAACCAATTGAAGATGAATTGGAAAGTTTAGGATTGGATGATATAAGTGAAGATAATGAAAACTTGGAATCAGATGATGATTCAAGTGAAAATGAATCGGAAAACTTGGAATCAGATGATGAAGCAAATGAAGAAAATTGTAATTTATTATTTTAAAAAAGTATACAATACAATGATTAGAAAAAAACATTTAATTTAATATAATAAAAATAATTAATTAAAATTATATATATTTTAAGTTATTGAACTTTTTTAATATCAAGAATATTGTTAAATAAAGTATTCAAATTCTCATTGATAATTTATATAGATCTTTCTTTATAGAATATTGTTTCAAAAATTAGTTAACATTTTGGAGATAATCTAATATTGCAGAGTGTGTGTTACACCCTATAAAATTTCCACTGTTAAAAAAATTAATGAAGCAATTTCTTGGAGGGTTTTGTCTCGTTAGAGATGGCAGGTACAAAAATACTATTGAATGTATATTAAATAAAGATTCATTATAAAATTATGGATTACTACTTTTTATTATTTAAAATAAAAATTTTGTTTTACCTTTATATCCAGCTTTTCTTTTATAATAATTTATTATTTCTTTTGTCAAATATTTATCCAACATCACCACATCGTTTAGATTGTCTACACCTTATATCTATTATCTATATTTTCCTTGACATCCATCTAATCAATAATCCAAACAAGATGCTAGCTATTAAAAATTGTGGTAATGATGAGGACGTAGATCGTTGAGAATTAACGTTTACAAGATGGAAGTTTCGTGATTTCTGTTTCTCGACTTTTATCGAATTAATTTCAGATTCTTTAACATTTACCTTTAAATATTATTTTATTAAAAATTAAAATTATAAAAATTATAAAAATTATAAAAAAATAATTGATCAAATACCATATTCAAAGTTGAAGAATAAATAGAATCTTCAATATCAATATCAGAATTTGATAGATTATACTGTTGTCCAGTAAGTTCTACATTCTGTACACTACCAAAAAAATCCGTCACCGATACCTAAAAAATTTTTAAAATTATCTAATATATGAGAAAGCAAGAAAGAAAGAAAGAAATAAATCAAATAGAATGTCCTATTTTAGTTAATAAAAATACCTTGTCTAAAGGTCTACGAAACAAATCACTACGAACTCCGGGAGTTGAATGTATTAATGTTGGATTATATGAATTAAATAGATCTTGTAATGTTGCTTTACTTTGCATATCTATTCTTTCCAAAAATTCTAAATTATAATATGTAAATCGATCGATCACCGCAACTCCAATATCAGAATCCATATGATGCTACAAATTTCAAGTAAGGAAGAAGTAGGAAGAATAAAAATTATTAAATAAAATAAAATGATAAAGTGAATAAAATAAAATCATAAAGTGAAAAAAAATAAATTCATAAATAAATGAATATAGATTTTTAATTTGCATCGTACCGAATATGAATTCTCACCAAGTTTACTACTTCCAGTAGCTAAAATATTTGGTGAATAGATTTGACTATACATTGTATTTGCTTGACAAGTATCAATCATGAATAAAACTTCATGATATCTATAAAATTAAATATTAACGTTAAAATTATAAATTAATTAATTAATTAATTAAAGATACAAAAAAATAAATACCTTCGTTTTTCCCACATTTGTTCAAAAGCATCTGCTAAATCAAAACTACTAATCTCTTCTGCATCTTGAAATTTCAAGAATTCATTACCACCATGACCAGTCATATATACCAAAATATTAGACCGATCATCAGATAATAAACGTTTGGATCGAGGTGTATCAGGTTCAACACGACCTATTTCAAATTATTCAAATTATTTAAACTATTTAAATCATTCAAATCATTCAAATCATTATAAAATAAATTAATTTTACCTGTTAAAACTCGAATAAAATTTTCTACTGTAACTTCATAACCTCTGTAATCTACTTCCACATTATCTCCATAAAGGTCTAAATATCTTCCAGCATTATTAAAAACCGTGGCAGGAAAAACATTTCGTGGATTACACGCAACATCATCAGCTAACATTAAAATAATATTAGAATCCGGAATACCCAAACGTTTTACTGTACGATACATTGATAGCGTATTGGCAATATGTCTGTAATTAAACCAAAAACGTGAAGTGCAAACCTATGAAAAAGAAAAAATATATATATATATTATTAAATTATTGTTCGTTCACAAATTTTATATTTCTTTGATACCTACCAGCACAGCCCAATTATTGGTATGTCCACCACGACTAAAAAAACCATCAACTGTTTCATTATCCGAACGTACTACTAAAGTAAGTAAAATCAAACATATTATAATATGTTGTAAAAAAGAATGTTGAGAGTATTTTAAAAACAACATAATTAAAGGAATATAATTTTATTATTTGAACTAACTTGACGATAAAATTTTATTGTTACACTAACTTTTGTTGAGCCAATTATTTAAATGTTTAAAAAACTAAACAATTTTTTCATCTTTAATCTTTAATCTTTAATTCAACCATGGGAAGTTTATTAAATCTCAATTATTACGATGAAGAAGATGAACAACAACAACTTGTTAATGACGGTAAATATATAAATGATTTTCGTATGTGTCAAACAATTCATTCTAAATTAATTAATTTTTGTCTCTAATCTAGGGTACGATTACGAAGAAACTGGAAAAATCACTGATTCCAAAAACGTAGTATGGTTTCTTGAAACATCTATTTTTATAAAAAAAAAAAATTTTTTTTTTGTAGAATAGAGTTTGTTAGTTGACAAAAAAATCTACAATTTCATTTCCTAACAGAGTAAATCTATATCTCAAGCAATAGTTCATAATTCTGCAGGTAATTAACAAGTCAGGCCGGCTAAATTTCGAGATCATCCAAGTGAATTGATTTCTGGTTTGTCTTTTGATTTCGTCGTCCAATCACTGATTATTTTTGATAATCTGTTCCATTTTAACTTTGAGCTCTTTTTTCTTTCAAACTTGTAAAAGTTTCAAAAATTATTTATACTTATTTTTATTTATTTATACTTATTTAGAATCCAAAGAATCACCTATTAAATCACAGTCACAGAATAAATCTTCCCAGAAACCATTAACTCCATCCCCTTCAGTATTTTCTAATTTGGTTCGCCGAAAAAGCAACAACTCAACACCTCATAAACAACGCGATGGCGAATCATCTCTATCAAAATTTGAGGTTAAATCTTTTTCACCATCATCACAACAAGATATGACTGATCGATTAGGAAAGAATATCGATGATAATTCATTAATACCAATGGATATTGAAATAGTAGAGGATGCACAACAACAAGCAGCGATGCGACAATTATTGACACCTAAACCTATTGAAGGTAAAGACAATTGGGGAATTTTAACAGAACCAGAGACAGAATGTGATCAAGCATTAAAGGTAATTAATTTTAATCTTAATAACTGTTCAAAAAATGTTCAAAATGTTTAAAAATGGTCAAATTGATCTACAATTAATCTTTAAATGTATATTTTTATTTTTTATATAATATATATATATATCTATATATATCTATATTTTAAAAGGAAAAAATTGCACATTTTCATAAATTGAAAAGCAAAGGTATCCTCTTCAATGAAAATCTTCAGAAGAATAAGGCTTTTCGTAATCCACACATATACAATAAATTGGTGGAATTTGTGGAATTGGATGAAATTGGATCAAATTTTGATAGAGAAATATTTGATCCTTATGGATATCCACCCGAAGCATTTGTAGATCAACTCGGTAAATTCATGAACATTATATATATATATTTATTTAAGTAATTTATTTTTAAGTGCCAGAATATGATATTATTTTATATTTTTCAAAGCGGAAAAGCAAAAGAGACAAGCAGAGGAACGAGCCGCAGCACAACAACAACAGCAAAGGTCACAAATACAATTTGTAGGAACAAATTCTAGTAGTCAAAGTATTTCCAAAGCTCGTCACGTAATGCAAAGTCTTGCAGCAAGAGCAGAAAAAGGTTCATTAACAGCTGCTGTTGCTGCTAATTCTGCTAGTGTTATCAATACTGGTATATCTACATCCACATCTACATCTACATCATCACAATCTTCAACCAATATACACAATTCTTCCAATTCTTCAACTAGTTCAAGAACTTTTTCCGGTACGTTCTCGGAAGACAAGTCATCATTAAAATATCATTACTATAATTTAAAATATTTTTATTACTATTTATTAATAAAATTTATTAAAATTTGTTACGTCTTTTGGATTTAATGTATTTTATACTTGAAATATGGTTTAGGGAAAAAACGTGCTAGTAAATGGGATGTACCCGCACCAAATGTAGTAGCTTCATCATCATCTTCTTCAACATCTTCACGTCATCACCATCACAACAGTCACAGCAGCAGTAGTAGTCGTAGTAGTCGTGATACAAAGAGATCAAAGACTTGATCTATTATTATTATTACTATTATTAATATTACCATTATTAATATTAATTACCACTATTAATATTATTACCATTTTTTTTTGATTATTATCATTATTATTATTATTATTACTACTATTGCTATTATTACTATTACTATATTAGAATTTTTTGTTGTATGCGCGCACATTTACGCAGATTTATCTAATTTATATAATATATATATGTATATATATTTATAAAATAGGAAATTTTTCATTATTCAAATTTATGATGATCTTCTAATCTTCAGAATCACGAGGAGTGATATCTAAATAAATAAAATATAAAATAAATTCACAATACATATTTATATAATGGTATATTATATATGTTTTATGTTAAATAATTTAATCAAATTCCATAAATTTCATCTTATTTATTTATATTTTATTACATTTACATTTTTTAAATATGTTAAATGTGTCAAAATTAAAAACAATAATTTAAAAAAAAATTAAATAAACCCTATTCTAAATCTGTTTGAAATATTGTAAATAATAATATTATAGATCATTATGGCCAGGTGAAATATCTATCCCCTAATATTTTTAATAATGTTAATTAATTAATGTTTAAATATAAACAAAACAATAATATATTTAGTGAACAAATACCAAAATCTCCTAATCCAGGTACAATATATTTCTTATCATCCAATCCTTCATCTATAAATGCTGTAATAATTTTGAGTTTTGAAAATTTTGAAGTAACTGCAGTAACTCCTTCCGGGGCAGCAAGTAAATTCAAAAATAATATTTTTTCCTCTGCTACTCCATTCGAAAGTAATACCTCTATAGCTTTAATAGCTGATCCCCCAGTAGCTTCATTATTATATGAGATAAATATATAAAACTTTCAACGGCTGAACTAAAAAAAAAGAGCAATCAGTATCAATAAAAAAAAAAAATTTTAATACTTATTACCAAGCATTGGATCCAATAATAAGACATATCGACTTTCTATATCTGGAGGCAACTTAGCGTAATAAAGCTAAATATATTATAAAAATAATAAAAATATATATATATATATATAATATTATAAAAATTTTTATTTCAAATATATCAATTAACTTAATTACCTTCGGTTGAGCCGTTTCTTCATCACGTTGTATCAAAATTTTTCCAATTCGAACACTCCTAGAAAGTTCAATATGAAAAGATCATTAAAAAAATAAAATTTAATAAAAAAAAATAAAATTTAACAAAAAAAAATAAAATTTAAAATTAATAAAAAAAAATAAATTTTAATGATGATATTTACTGACCTGCAACATTCACGTAAACCTTGTTCCATAGCTTCACCAGCTCTCATAATAGACACGCCGCAGATTTGACCCTTAAATCCGATCCCTTTGAATTCATTACCTAAATAAAATTTTACGCGTTAATCCCATTTTAATTAACAATAAACAATTAAAATAAAATTAATTCAAATTACCTGTTGGAGTTATGACGGTTTTTTCAACAACGGGTAAATGGTTTAATCCTAACCATTAGAAATTTTTCAAAAATTTTCGATGAATTTTAAAAAATTGAATAACACTAACAATTTTTTTTTTTTTTTAATTTTAATGACATTGCTGTCATTTCCAATATATATAGAAAAATTAATTTTGCTGAATTATCGAACAAAAATATATAATATTTTTGGTACGTCCCTATATATATTGGAAATAACTATAAAATATATTAAAAAAAACCTTCTTCAACGAGAAGCCGAATTATTCTATCAGAGTGAAAAATGAAGTCTCCACGAGCGGTAGCTTTGTCTCGTATTATGGTTAACAGTGCATCAATTTGGTTTGTACGGGGAAGGCACACTACATTGGCGGGAAGGAGATACTACGGAGCATAAGAAATAATTATCATAAAAAAGAGCATAAGAATATAGTTATTAAAAAAAAATATGATAAAATCTTCGAAATGTTAGATTTAAATAAAATTTATTATTATTACCATTTTTTTTTTTCGAAGCATAGAATTCCAACCCAGTATTATTCTTTTTCGATCGAAGTCACGGAACGAGATGCTTTCATCCAATTGGTGAATAATGAAAGGTCCAAGTCAACTATACTCTTTTTTGGGAAGATTTTCGTGACCCGAAATGGAAAAAAAAGATCAAAGAATTTAATACATATCGAGAACACACCGTACCCCAGCAGTGTTGTGTTTTGGGCTATTAATTAAAGTTTGAAATTGATTTTCATATATACAGCATCTATAAAGTTTTAATATCCATTTATAGGTTGGGTGCGATAACTCATGGCCAAAAATCTAAATAAGGAAATTTTTACTTATAAAAATTGCAGATCAGTTTCCTTTTAGATTTTTGCCCATATGACTGCTTATAGCAAAAAACAATTATTTTGATCGCTCTTTTCGTGCGATCATGTGATGTAAATCAATTTTTATGATTTTTTGATTTACAAATTTGAACATTTTGACTTCAGCATTTTCAACTTTATTGTTATATATAAAGTTAAAATCAATAATAAGTCAATAAAATAAATTAAATAAATTAATAACGATTGTATAATTTGTATAAATATGTACATTTTATTCTTAATAAATAAATAAATAACAATAATAAATAGTCGAACAATAAATAATAAATAATTGAACAATAAATAAATAGTTGTAATAGTTTTTTTTTTTTTTTTAAAAAAAAAAAAAAACAGATAAACAGATTTTAATAATGTAAAAAAAGAAAATACAAATTTCAATTTTAATTATTATTTTTTTTTTCAGTTATAACAGTTTATAACGAATAAGAATCGCTCTAGTCACGTTGATTGATAAACCTTTTTTTTTAATCATCACCCATAATGTCACGATTATTTAATGAAATGGTATTAATATCATTCATTGATGAATATGGAATATAGTTGTGATGATTATGGTGATGAATGTTAGAAGAAGTAGAAGTAGGAATAGAAGTAGGAATAGAAGTAGGAATAGAAGTAGGAATGGAATTTAGAGTAGAATTTAAATTAGGATTTAAATTAGAATTTAAATTATTAGTAGTATTTGTATTTGAATTCATTAATGATAAAGAATTCACATCAATTTGATGATGATGATGATGAAGTGAAGGTGAAAGAGGTGGAGGAAGAGGTGGAAGAGGTGGAAGGTTATGAAATGAATTATTTAAACTATTTATATTATTTATATTTGTATTCGGATGATGTGTTGAAGTTATTCCCCATTCATCTAAATATATACTTTGATTTTGTTGTGTATAATAATAATTTGAAGATGGAACAACGGGAGGTTCGGCAAGTGATCCAAGAGAATTGAGAGAATTGAAAGAATTTATGGGTTCCGTTGGATTTGTTGAATTTGGTAAATTCATATAATAATTATGAGGATTATGAGGATTATGAGGATGATGTTGGTGGTGTTGTTGTTGTTGTGGTTGTTGATGAGAGGATTGTTGAAATTGTAAATGATGCGGTAATTGTGGTTGAGCAAAAGGAGAAGTTGCAGGCGTTAGATTTGTTTTAAATGGATGAGAAGGAGAAACTGAAGTAATGATTGAAGGAGGAATTGAAGTATTAGTATTTATTGACGAAGTTGATGTTGTTGTTAATGGTTGAATAGGTATTTGATTATGTATCATTGGTGATTTTTTCATAATAATTGGATGTGAAGGAGAATCTTCTATTATAGGTTCTTGAGGTGTGGTAGATGGAGGTGGTGTTGGTATCATTTGATTGGATTTCCTTCCTTCCTTGTTAATTGAATTATCAATTAAATTACTAATTGGATTCCTAATTGGATTATCAATTGGATTATTGATTGGATTATTAATTGGATTATTGATTGGATTATTAATTGGATTATTATTATTATTATTATTATTATTATTATTATTATTATTATTATTATTATTATTATTATTATTATTATTATTA